AACTAAGTAGAAATTTGGGGATAGGAATGGGCATCCTTTTCTTTACACAGATTTGCTTCTGTTTCACTCATTTCAGCTCTTTTCAGGGAACAACAGCCCATGTAGTGGGATGAAGAAAATTCTTCTGTAAGCCTTCTTGCCTGCAGTGACACTGTGGGTGGGGCTACCACATAAGTACTTTCTGAAGTGTCTCTGTTCTTAGTCATTGTGTCCTGAGAGTTGTGTCCTCCAGGAACTTATTTTACCTTCATCAGGTACCTTATGTCAATAAGGATCACTTTGTCCACCTCATAGGCTGATGAACAGTAAGGTGATGTGCACCTGTAGTAGGAGTAGGATGTCTGTTTTGCGGTTTGGCTTCCATCCAATGAAATTATTTAAGACAGTACTCTGCGTTCTCTGGATTATAAAGTCTCGCCTGTAGTGGTCATTGTCTGGATCCGCCACACACTGAACTTTCAGCTCTTTGCTGCAGATACCTGTGGGACAGAGTTGGGCCATGCATGTACCTGCTCACCAGGGCATCAGAAACCCTCCTTTACTTTGTGTTTGCATCCTTTGAGGGAGTTTTGAATCCTTCTTCATGGGTTTATTGGCTCGCAGACTGCTATCGGAGGATACTTTGGTTACTGAAAGGGTAGGAGAAGAACTTTGCCAAGGGAGGCACATAGAGAGGGATGAGCTGTCCTTTGTGTTTCACAGTTAAGTGATAATTTTTGATTAAGTTTCTCTTGTTTTGTTTGCGAGTAGCATAGTCAGCAGCCTCATGTCATGGCTTTTTTACAGGCTGGTAACAGTAATCCAATCACCTACAGGTGTCCTATTCATCTTTCTGAGGCATATTATATGAATTTATCTGTGTAATTCCTGGAAGCAGTCTAAGAAGAATGGTAGCAGATGATAATTGCCATGGGCATTTCCAGGAACTTTCTAAATAATTGTAAGATCTGTACCTCTAAAATGTTCTTGAACACATTTGTTTCAATGACCCATAGAGCCTGTGGCACCAAAAGCCCTCTGAGTGGTCCCAGCCCAGTCAGAGATAAACATCCTGCTTTGTGATGTCCTCAGTGGCTAGAATAGTTTGTGCCATTTTGTGATTGCACTGTTACGATCATGTACTCTATTTGTTCCCACCACATCTTGGAGGTCAGCAGTCCAGATCAGGTTTCCTAACAAACTTTTGTTTCTTTACATGTATGTCCAGTGATTCATTGTCTTAGGCTATTTGTAGATGATGAGGTCCTGGCATGCTTCTGGGGCAGGTGGGAAGTGCTGTCTTTCTACTAAGGAAAACACAGCAGACATAAAGAACTATGTGGCCTTGGAGGTTTGTTTTGACATGACTCTAAGAGAAAGTCAAGGAAATGTGTGTATCAGCTTGGAATTGTGGATTTTGTTGAAATTCAGAGAGGAAGCTAGTTTTCTTCAGTCTTACAATCTAGCTTTATGTGAAAAATAAAAATTCAGGAACAGAAAAAGAACTTCTGTTGTTCAGTATTTCCTTGTTTATTTCTCTAGATGCAGAAAATTCTCAGTCCCGCGATGGCTTAACTTCGGGTTCAGGAGCCTCTGCTGAAACCGACAGTCCTAGCACAGTTACCTAGATGGAAAAAGCTCAGTGTGCACTGGCAGTAAAAACTGCAAGCAGGAGACATGGATTTTACAGCAATAGTAGTAGCCTGTGTTCTGCAAGATTGGGTATTGGTACAGAGGAAGGTCAGGCGTGCTCAATGCATGTCCGAGTGTGTGGACTAGTCTGCAAGTGCACGTTAGTCAAATAGTATTGTTGTGTGAGCATATTGCCAGTTGTGGTCCCTGCATGCCATCTCCTTTGAGTGCAGATAAAGGCTGGGGTCTTACTTACTCTCCAGTAGAGTGCATGGCTGAGCTGGTGCGCACAACAGCTTCTTAGTTTCTCTTTGAGCTTGAGCACAGAAGAGATTCATGGCTCCCCACCCGCTGCCAGAGTAAATTGACCTCTCAGAGGCATCTCTTCACCTAGTGCTGAGAGGATAATGCAGAGCTGTGTAGAGAAAGAAAAGAGCAGGCTTTCAGATGGGACAGGCTTTTCTTTTTGGGGGCATTCAAGTGTGTTAGGCTAAAACAGAAAACAGGTGAAAGAGGCCTACTCCCTGTCATGTGGCTTTGCGCTAAGCCTCCTTTGCAGCATAGTTGCTTGATCTTAAACCTTGGAGAGTGAATCTTTCTCATGTTTCTTACAGTTGTTTTTGGTGATCAGGTCTCTCACACACCACCAAGCTCCTTCTGTGGCAGTTCTTAGAAAGGAAGAAAAGCGCTGACTGTGGAGAGGCTCCTGCTGGGGTCCTGTACCTCCAACCCTCACCTTTCTGTCTTTTTTTCATTTTGTACCTAGCTGAGATGGAGCCTGTAGGTCCTCTGGGTCCCAGACCAGTTCTGTCTCATGGAGCACGTGTGGCCCACCTTTTTGGATAGCAAACACTGACATCTCCTAATCCTTTTAAATACCTAGCCTGAGCAGCTCCTGATTGATCACATCTTGTGAACAATCTAATATCACATGCCTGTTTGTATTTGTATGCATCTGTTTTACATATATCTATTAATTTGGTCTGTTTTCTTTTACACAGTATTAGCTTACCATTTTTCTTTCACATGCAGATATAACTCATTGCATTGGCAACAATGAGCAAAAGCTCCCTGTGAAGGCCTGTGCATGTGACTGTGATATAAAAGATATTCTTATCACTCCATCAAATTAAAAAGAAGATTAAGGCCCAGCTTCAGGAAATCACTCAAGCAGGCTGGCTGATTGAAATTGGATTCATCCATGTGCTACAGTAAATTCCTACATAACAGTCTAAATCATTGCTCTGAGCAATGGTAACTGAAGATTGATGGTGAGGTAGTGTGTTTGATGGCGTGATATGAGCAGCTATTTGGTAGCTGTCTTGAAATGCATGAGACCATAAGCTCTTAAACTGGCACGAGGAAAATTATTTTAACAGTGTAGATTGCTCTACGGATTGCTTATCTTATCTCCTGTACCTTTCACCCTGAAGGACTGGGACTAGGAAAACGAGTTCAGAGCCTTAGCACTGCTTTACACTGCTGAGGGTGCGACTTGGCTCAAACAACATTGCCTACATGAGATGGATACCTCGTCTGAACTTGCTATATACACTGCCCCTGTCCACATCAATAGAGAGGTGCTTCTCTAAAAGTCTAAGTTGTCTTCCTCACTCACTTCAAAGGGGTGGATCACCCTTTGGAAGCACCCCTTTCTCTGCTGTCTGGAGGCAGGGGAGGAGGAGTGAATCCCGTCTCGTCTTCCCATTGCACATGTCTCTCTTCTGTGTTAAAGGTGGGAGATGGCAACTAGGCCTGGCACTTTATATACCTAATGTTGGCCTTCCAGTGGCTAATTTTACTTAATTACAATGTTTAATTACAGTCATTCATGCTCCCTGCTACCTCTGGTCTTTTTGCTGACATGAGGAAGTTCTCAGTTAACTGTACCTGAGGCAGAACCATTGGCAAGTAACAGATACAAGTAGTATCAGTTTAGGTCCACATAATGGTCAAGCTTTACACTTTCCGAAGAAAAAAGGCTGAGGAGCAGGGGAAAAATCCAGTTACTAGGTGAGAAAATACGGTACCCAATGGGTGTGCTTTCAAGTGTTTGGTTAAAAAGTTTCATTTGAGATAGATCTGTTTGTGTTTTTAGGCTCTCGGGGAAACTTCATCTTGCTAAATGTCTATGCTCAAATGATACCATCCAACTGTCATGCCTTCACCTGGTAGTTCACGAGCCCTTTGCTGTTGTGGCATGAGAAACACGAATTTTGTGGTCCGATTCATTGAATCCATTTTGGAGTGAAAAATCATAAATCCCTTGGGTTTAGTTGCCTGTTCATCTCATCACTGTTGGACCTACCTTTCTATGTCTTTGCTTTTGCCAGCTACTAGAATAATGCTGGTGTTTTCTTGGCTATGTATTTATGAAGAATATTAGCAGAAAACACTTTTTCTGAAGCTGCTTTTCAGTTCTAGCACTGCTTACATCTGTAGGGGCAAGGGAACACTCTAAGAAGTCATTTGCTCAAGCCTAATTTTAATTAGTGTAAGCTGTTAAATGAACAAATATTGACAAGAAAGCTAAATCTATGAGGGGCTGTGCAAGGCCTCTGTTGTCCGTTTGCTTCTCGACAGCCTTATCTGATGAGGTGATAGAGTGATGGTGGAAGTTATTTGGCGTGCAGAGCATACAGTCCTTCAGGAATAACTCCTGCACCTTTTGAGTAGTCATTTATTCACTATGATGCCAAATTATGGGCTGATCAGCCACCACATCCATCTGAAAATGGAGTAGAGACACAAATCACAGAATTAGGGCAGATCTAGCTAAGTCCTTCTGAAACTTTTGTCAGCATGACTGAAGTAGAGTTTCTGTCCCCAGTGGCTTATACTGAAGGAATGAAAGGGGTTGATCTAAGTCATTGGCTTTCAGAGCTATTTTTTGTGCAGCTGGATGATTCTTAATAATTTAAAAATTGTTAATGATGTTGACTGACATCTTAGATAGTGCCTTTATGATGTCAGAGGATGTTAAAATGATGTACATACTGTGGCCAGATTCTGACCTGGTTTGCACCACCACCAGTTGTAGACTTGATTCTACTCCTGAACAGGTGTCTCCCAACTTCATCTTATTGCCCTGAGAAATCCACAGTGGCCTGATAATGTAACAACCTATGGGACCAGAGTAATTTCAATTGCATCTGCATTTTAGAAAGGCAGAATGTGGTAATCAAAGTGACCTTGGGAAGTTCAGCAGTCATTCGTTACAGATGCTGTGTTTCTGGTACATGCTGGTAGGCAGCGATAAAGCACTGCCTGCCCTGAGTGTGCCACGCCACCTGTGATGAGGAAGGACTTTGTTGTTCTTCTCT